TTGAAAATTAATACTTCGACTTAAGTATTTCCCTGTCAGTTCTTTTTTTTTTTTTTCTTCCAGGGAAAGTAGATAACGTAGCGGATTATTGGAGACGCTGCAGTTGCATCGACGAGACTCCTCGTTACAATTATCCTTTTCCAGCGATGCGCAACTTCCCTTCTTTCTCGGGGGGCCGCCACCCCCCGCGACAGTTTCGGCGACCACCTCCACGAGGTCCTTATTCTCCAATCGGCTTAAGTCATGAAAGAAAAGTCCCCTTAGAAATCGCCGGGGAACTTCTCTACTTAGAGAGTCCGTCTCCAGTGCCTTCTTTCGCCCTACTTTCGCTCTCTTTCAGGGCGACTCCTTCGCGAGCAACGTCGGGGGTTGCTAACTTTCCGCCCCCTTGTTCTGCAAGTCGACGAGAGTCGATCCGGGTGTTTCATATTTCCAAAGAGATCGATACCACTTATCCGGAAATCTCTCCGCAGTCCAACCCCCTTGCACTTTGAATTTCTGCATTCCACCCTTAAACCCAAGAAACCGCCTGGAAATCACAAAACTCCTAATTGTCTCCCATTATCTTTAAAGCTCGTCTTACCTACTCCCTGTCTGTCTCAAGTTAGGAGTTCCTTTTCACCCTTTCCCTTGAGGGTTAAATAATTTTCTTGGTGCTAAATACCAAGGTGTCGATTCTTGCTCGGAGGGGTGTTAGAAGGGGTCAGTAGAAAAGGCGAGCAAAGTCAGCCGCGAAACGCAGGGTATTTCTATGGGCTACCGGATATACCTCTTCGTATTTATTAACATTCCCTTTTAACGTAACTATCACGTGTATTAAACTGCAACCACTATGGTATTGTCAAATATTCATGCACTCCCGGCTAAGCGCATTTCAAGCTTAACGAGCCCGGGCGAACTCGTCGACTCGCCCTTTGCAGAGCAACGCTGTTGGTTGCTCGACAAGGGCAACGTGCAACATCGTGCCCGAGAGATGTTGCACCCAACGGCGTTGCTCTTCGGCAAGAAACTTGGGCATCCCTAGCGGAAGTGACGCGTCAAACGGGCGGCCAGTTTCCTCCCCGAAAGTGACATTGGAAATTCCAACGAGCAATTTGCAAATTAACGATTCCATCTTTCCTCGGAGTTTTACCTAGGAAGAGGTTGAACAAATTCCCGAATATACCTCGACTCTTCAACTTCCGCTTCGGGTGCTCAAGCGCACACTTCCGGGCGCGTTGGAAACGTTTCTGGGTACGATTATCCGCTCCCCGTAATTAACATTAATTATGTACCTAGTTCTTCGAGGTCCTCGCTTCCTCGTCCGGAGGAAAATCGGACTTCGAGGTCGAAAACGAACGCAGGATGTGACGTCTCTTCGAGTCCTGCCTTGCGGAGCGGCACCTTCCCCGGCAGAGGATCGTTGGTCGCGATCGATTCGATCATCGATACTTATATCTCGAGTGCCTCGATTACCTAAATCCTGTTCACCGACTAAAAAGATTTACCCTGAAGAGGTTGGGCTAGTGGAACTCTATCTGGGTCCAATCTCCAGCAACGTAGCAAAATCCAGATACCTTCATCACCATTTCTCCTCCCTCGTTCGAAATGTAAAGTATAGGAAGTAAAGGGCAAAAAGTGATATAAAATCGCGAATCGCCATTATTTTACTTTGAAAAAATGGAAAATCTCGTAATGGGGGCCGTACCGGGAGTTTGTGGTAATGAAGCCAGGGTGATAATTAACTGATAGATTAGTTCAATGAATTCGTGTCATGACTTTGATCTGGAAAAAATGGAATAAAAAAAAGGAATCAAGCGGAAGGGATGCTCGGTATCGAGAGTACGTATTAGCGCGATGAAGCCCGATCGGCCACTGACGATCCTTCAGCGTCATCGACGCCTCGTCCGATGGCTCATCGACGAATTGGAATGTCATTGGAAATCGTGTCCACCAGTCGGCGTCTCTTTGATGCGTCGAGCCGGGTTGAAAAAGTGGACTCGCCTTCGGGAGAGGCCAGCGTCCCGATGCCGGTGCCAGTCAGCGAGCTTGACGTATCGATCGGCGCCGATTCTGAGAGCTTTCGAACAAATGGCTCGACCCGGCTGGAAATCATTATCGAGAAGTAATAAGTGTCCTGGCCGTAGGGGTAGCTTTCAAAGCCACGGCCCTCGACGGTCGATTCGTCAAAACGCGGCCGACCGGCCATCAGAAATGGGAGCACCTTCTGAGAGATGACCGGAAACTTCCATCCCGGAATCTCGGCGTCCCTTCGATGGGAATCGCTTCCCGGTGCCTCCTCGTAAAATCCCCCAAAGTTTCCCGAAGTCGCACAAAGTCGACCTAAAGTCGCTCGACTTGGAGAACCAATCGAGAACGAGAGATCATTAAGGACGGTACACCCGAAACGATGGCGTCCATCGAAGGGAGAACTCTGGACATTGAACTTAATGACTGCACGAAGTATGTGAAATTTGGAAATTAATTATTCATATGGCACTGGAGATGGGGGAGGGTTAAAGGTCTGAAGGGTGTTGGGGAAGCGTCCTTAAGTTTGTCTCAGGGCACCTTTTTCTGGAAGATGAGAATGATCCAGCCCATAAACTTATTCCATGACACCCGGAGAGTGGAGCGGGTTAAAAGGGAATTTTGAAAAATGATACGACCCGGTTAGAGTGCGCGAGGAGCCCGGAGGTGCGGCAAGAGGGTTCATCGATTGCGAAAAGAAGCCTCAGGTATCTTATCGCGGACGCTATACAGGGCAGCCCGTTAAGGACCTTAAAGTCATGAAACCGCACTTACGCCGGGGATAATTAGCGGGACACGTCAGGGAATAAATACGGCGATTGCGGGGAAACTGCCGAGCCGCAGACTCGGCACTTAGTGCGGACCATAAATTACATATTTCCCGGTTTCCAGAGGAAAAAATTCCCACCGTCCATAAATAGAGAATTAAATCCAGAACCTCCCCTTAAAGGAAGAAATTGAAAAGGCAGCGTTTACTCGAAAATCCCAGTGGAATTTTCACTTGACCTTTCCTTTGACCATTCATACTCCCATCGTTGCGGGAAAAGTGTCTCGAATGGCCGCGCCGCGGAAAAGCGATCGGTGGGGAAGGAAAACGCGGAAAAGGTATCGATTGATCGGCGAATTCCGAAGCGTTCCACTTCTTTGTCGGGCAGCTCGACTGATATCTATCCCAGATATCCCCCGACGATCGGCTCCTATCAGCATCCCAAACAGGGTGATCGGGATATCGGATGCTGGGCCGCCGATCGGGATATCGAATGCGGCCCTGTTTGGCAACGGTATCAATTGCCGAACAACGCCGTGGCTGTACAATTTATTGAACGTGCCCCATTGGCCGTTTACCGCTAACCGTGGTGTGACCCCAGCCAAATGCAAACTGGAGGCCGAGGTATAATCCGTCCGTTTCGATTATTTAGGCCGCATAAGTGTTCGTGCTCCCATGTGGATCTATCATCCTGCCGAGAATGAGGATCGATGACGAGATTTGAAGGATCGCCGGACTCGATTGGCAGAAATCAAAAGAAAATTGACCGTCAACCACGTGGTCATTTTTCGGAGTCACAGCCAAAAAAACTCTCTATAGTCAATGGGTTAATGACGGTTACTTTTCAATCAAATTTATCCACATTGCTGGAGAGACTGTTGCCCAAATGGAGTTGCGATCAATTTCAACATTTCCTTGAATTAAATTCTTTGATAGTGGCCTTTCGAGTAACACTGGTAATTGACACTGGTGATACCTGAGGATTTTTACTATTGACGAAACGGTGACGGACCAGGATCGGTGCCCATCGGATTGTCGCAAAGGGCTCGAATAATCGATCGACCAACAATTCCTCCGCCTCTTCGAGCTTCCGAGGCCAGGGAATAAACACAGGAATGGCGTCGTCGAGTCCTTAAACAATTATTTATTTACAAGCGATGCTCGAGTGTTTCCCGGTGGAGGGTGCGAGAAAGACCGTCCCACCGAGGTGCCATCATGCTACAGGAAGCCGGTAATTATGTCAAAAGACAGGGGAAGTTCGAGCGAGGACGCGACAACGTAACAGCGATTTCATGTTTCCCGGATTTCACAGTTTTCCTGGACATTCAGTCGGAATGTGCGGATCGATTGGGTCCCTTTACCAGATCCCGCGTTTTTCGGGAAAATTGGTGATCGCCCTCTTTGCGATGCAGTCGCTCGTCATCGGGAAAGCGGGAAGCCTCCGGAAAATATTTAATTGGCAGGATTTCGGGGCTGCGAAATGGCCAAAAGCGTCCCGGCGCTCCCAGGAGACTCCAGGAGGCGCCGAAAGTTTTAATGGTCACCTAAGAGGATTTCCACTGTTCCCGTGACTTTTCCAACTGTAGGGAAATGCAGGATCCTCCCTGACCAGATCCTCTCCTCGCGGAATCCTCCTTTTCCCGACTCCCACTCGTCGAACGAAAGTATTCTCCCCAAGGATAGTTGTCCACTTAGACCCCCTTCCGGATCCAGTGACCTCGGAGTGGCAGAATCCGAGATTCACCCCAGGAAATTGGAAAAGTCTCGCGTCGAAGCTCGGCACTAGGTGAGGAATTTTCAAGAGATGAGGAACGGTCGTCAGTTGATCAATGGTCAAAAGATGAGGAGCTGCCCCCAGCTGAGAAATGGCCAGACCTCTTCGAGTTCTGGGACCTGTGTCCAGGGGGTCCCGCCATTCCCGGTCATCCTGGTCATCAGATCCTTGGACTTCGTCTAGGAGTCACGATTATTGTCCTTCCTGTCATGTACTGGTGTGCAATTGTTGCGCTCCTTGTTCCAGAGATGGGATATCCGGCTCGGCGTCGTTGCTGATGGTCACTGACACGGATCGTCGGTTTCCAGCTATTCGCCGGTACGATGGACAGAAGATCAAAGATCAACCGATCGAGATCCCGATCACCAGGTCCCCTTTATTGGGCAGGGCGACGATTCCTGTTTCGGAGCCATCCCTGTTCTGATCTCTGCCTCGTCGACGTTCCCGGTCAATTCCAAACTCCTTGGTCGAGCGGCTTGGTAACTCCTGGCACGATTATTGTCCCCTTCGTAATATGTACCCACCTAGTTAATTTCGCGTCCCCTGGACGTCGAGCTACCTTGATTCCCTACTTGGTCAGAGGCGAGCAGCCCCACCAATTGCCGTTGGGCTCGCCGATCATAGAAAGCCGGATCAGGTTCCAGCCTTCCAGTTCTCTATATCAGGTGTCGTTGCTGTTGGGCTTGTAGCCGAGATTCTTGCGCTGAAGGAACAGATGGATCTCCCGGAAGCTGGGCCGGTCCGTCTCGTTTCGCTGCCAGCACTCTCTCATCAGGTCGTACATCTCCTTCGGGCAGTTCTTCGGCAGGGGCAGGATGATCTGAAAACACGTCCAAGTGGACGACCTTACTACGAGTTCGGTGCCGACTTCGACATCCTCTTCGTGTGTGACTTATCGATTATTAAGCAAGAGGCCATCAAACGTACCGATTCTCGCTACGGAGTTCCCTCTTCAAATTTGATAAGCACCCGAAGTAAGGAAAAATTCCTCCACGGAGGAAAATATCACGTACCCCGGAACCCAAGAAAAACAAAGCCAGCGCCGCGCTCCGCAAAATAATCATCCCGAGAGGAATTACATCCCTTTCTAGGAGGTCGATCGAACCTCAAAAAAAATTCCCTCCCGAGGGTTGGCGAGCGATCCCTCGTTTTTCCCGTCGCTTTCCCGGACGGCAGAAATCGAAGATTCCCACAAGCAAAGTGATACTATGAAAATTCAGATCAGGGAGGGGCTAGCAAAGGTATTCACGGGTTGCAATTGGATCTGTCCGGTATATTTGGGGCGGAAATAGGAATTCATTCTCCATTTAGGGGGACGTGTCGGTCGACTCACCCTCCTCTCGTCTTCCTGGTAGAAGTGGGTGGCGTTTTCGACGATCCGATGATCGGGCAGCTCCTCGAAGGGCTGCTCTCGCGCGAAAGTCAGGATCTCCCAGAATGTCACGGCGAAGGCCCACACGTCGCTCTTCACGGAGTATCTCGCCTGAATCAGAGCGTGACTTTAAGCGGTTTTCCCGATTTCCCGGGACCCCTACCTCCGGGAAACATTCCCCGCTGAAAGCTCTTTCTAACGAACGCCGCTCGAAGAAAGTCTACCCCGCGCTTTAACCTAATTTCTAAATCCCCGAGAATTCAACAAATCGGAACGCAGATTTTCCGAAGCGGCAAACGAGAGATACACGCACTAGGTTCCTCTCGACGCGGCTTTTCACACATTCCGCGAGACTTTGAGCGAGACGCCAGAGTCAACTGGAATTTGAAAAGTCGCGGAAAAAAATTTTTTTAATTTAAAAACAATTTTTTTAAATTTAAATTAAAGGCCGCAGTGCTTTATTAAATTGTATGTAGCGCTGTATTAAATTTTTCAGACATATGGAAATTATTGTATTGGGATCGAGTCATCAGGAGGCGGGATGTCTCGGGTAGTCCTGTTTTGCAGGACCTCCCATCAGCATCCGGATATCGCCTGGACCAGGCACAACTATATCGGGTGTCTCCAGGTTCTTGAATTCGCTCTGGAATCCCGAATTTCACCTGGGGATGACTCTTGGAGGAGTCATCGAGGACTCGCCAGGACCTCTAAGGGCTTCAAATGGACTCGCGCGTTAACTGTTATTTAATAACAGGGAAGCATTTGACGAACGGGAGTAATTCCTGGCTCCTCGTGCGAGTACCGAAAGTTCCGCCTCCGAAGTCGAGTTTGAGAAACGATTTGACGCGGTTACTCCGCCTCCCTCCGACCCCCCTCAAAGTTCTCGCGAACACTCCCAGGGAAGAATTTCAAAGGCAAGGTGAGGCGAGAGAAAGCCTGGGAGGAGGAGAAAAGGGGAAAAAAAAATCCATTCTTCGACGAGCACGGGAACTCGAGCTGCGCACTTACCCCCTCGCTGCCCCTCGACGTCCCAAAGTTTCCCGCAAAAGAGACACCCAGCGCTTCGCTGCTCCCACTTGTCTCTCTTCCCTCCTCTATATATACATATACCGACACTTCCAAGTCCCAGGACGTATCGCTGCCTCGCAGGGCTTCAGGGAAAAGGAAGGACTCGAGAGACGCGAGGGAAAGGACCCGCGAGGTCCTCCCAGCGAAAACAGAATTTCGCGAAAATTGACCCCCGGCGGCAATTTTAAACCGAGTGGAGCGAATCGACATTAAATAACTCCTTTACGTAAGAACGGTAATATTTTAATATTGACAACGAAGATAATGAGGATTTTTCGATATCGAAGAATTACATCGAAGACAGAGAGGGAAAAATCCTGGAGATTTTCCATCGGGGTAGAGACCTTTGAAATTTTTGGAACAAACGGGATTGGAGACGTTTTAGGGGTGAAATTCGAAGGGTGATTTGTGGCCCGAGCGATAGCCATTTCGCACATAAACGCGTCTCATTAGCAGGACATAATGACCGGGAGGAGAACGCGAGACAGGAAGAGACGGGCTCTGCTGGGGGTGGTCCAGGGGTGCGTCCATGAGGCGGGATAAATAACGAGGGCATAATGAAACATTAATGACGCAGTCAATTTGAGGCGACTATGCAAATGTATGCTAAATGTTATATTTCCAGTTTGCTATCGCCACCGCCGCGGACATTAGGGGGTTAATTTGCAAAACATCGGGGGAGATCGCGCGACACCGTCCCGGGTGCAATTTCCACCCCCTGGGGGCGAGTCCCCCGCGTTTTCTGAAATTCTGTCCGCGACTAATCTGCCGCAATTAGCCCCGGTCGTGTAACACTCGCGGAACTCGTTTCCACCCCCGTCAAATGGGGTTCCTTCGCGAGACCAGGACCGGCCAATCGCGGCAGGGAAAAAATGGCCAACGGACAGTGTTGGACTCAATGGACCATTTTCCTTCTCGAGTTCATTGATGAGCAGCGGCTAAGATTGCTCTTCGTTGAGCCCTGTTAGACTCCTACAGCCGGATGGGCTCTAAATGAAACGATCATTGGTGGGGTCGCTTCCCGCTATGGCGCTTTGTTGCTCACTCGGTTTCCTTTGAGCAACGCGAGAGCTCCGTGTCAAGTGTACTCACCATTAGCATTGACTCCCAGGCCATCCATCGAATGGGAAGAGGAGGTCTTCCTTCAACCCTGAAGTAGTCAGCGGCGTAGGCGCTTCTTCCTGGCCCCAGGTCCGAGACCTTGACGGAATACCCCCGATTCACCACGCAGTTCCTGAGGATTAAAAATTCCGCCCCCTTCTCGTCACCACTCCCCAAGAACTCGACCTTAATAAACGATATAAGCGATATCGAAGATATGAATTCCACCCGCTAAGAAGTCATTTCAATTTCTCCTACATCCGTCACCTTGGATCTATTCATAGGGACTCAGCAAATTAAATTAAATTAATTATGCGACGTAATGGAGTTATCCAGACATTTTCAATTTGATTCTTCCGAGATGATCGATTCGGCTGATTCGGGAGCCTCTCAAAAATTGGGCCGTTATTACCCACCGTATTACCGTAAAAAAAGATTAATGCCGAGCTGATGTATCGCGAGCACATAATGGCCAGTCGAGGGCATCGGCATAAAACCCCATTACTCACGAGCCTAACCTATTATGGATTTTCGCACAAAAGCGCAAAAATATCCATAGGGTCCGGACACAAAGGAGCGGCTCCTCCGCTACCAAAATGGCCGTCGATTCCCGTCCCGGGGACGCCGTTCGGCGCAAATTCGTTTCTGTAAATTACGCTAATTAATTCCCGTCCCTGCAGGGACCCGGTTTAATGCGCGCCACTACGCCGGGGCGTATTATAATTAAAGTTTATGATTAGAGTTAATAACTTAAACACGCTCCGCTACACGACGGGACGCGCCGCCATGTTGGCGCGCAAGAACAGCTCCCCTGCAGGTACTCACGTTCGCCCGTTTTTTAATCGGCTAAAAATCCTAGGAAATATTAATTTCATTAATCTTCCCGTAGATTTAGGCGTGGATATGTTGGGATGTAAGGGGAAAGTCGATTTTCCCTTAAAGGGACCTCCCGAAGGGAACCGGCGTCTCGGGGCCGAGGGAGCGTTTGGCCCAAATTCGTTTCTATAAATCAGGGTAATTAATTCCTGCGTCCACCGAGAGCCGGCGCATTAATGCGTGGCAGTACACAGAAGGGCATTATAATTAAGGTTTATGATTAGAGTTAATAATTCGAACACGTGCCCCCATTAAATGGCAGCGCGTGGCGCCATATTGGCCGCCGTGCCGCCGCCAGGCAATATGGCGACGCGAAGGGTGCGAGAGAGTGACGGAGCGATGGACCGACCGAAGGCTAGACAAGGATGGACACATTCACCCTCCAGGACGGGTTAAAGCACCAGAAGCGATAAAACAATGAAGCGTGCCCCCCTAATAAAGCGATCGCAGTAGCGCACCCTGAAATTCCCGGCGATCGATCCACATCGCCGGCGATTAACTCGCAGAAGCGAAATAAAAAAACCAATAGTCGATTCCATCCCTCTCCCCCCTCTGGAACGACCTGCACGCAATGCCTGGCGAACGTCTTCAGGGTTCGCGTTGGGAAAAGAATTTATTTATACCCGAAGAGCGCCTCCTTGGTGCCCCTTATCATCCCATGCCAACTAGTTTGAAAGACTTTTGTGAGTCTGGAATGAATTCCAACCGCTGTTAAGTAATGATCTAAATTAATTGAATTTAATTCGATATAACTTGAGGTTAAGGACCATTCGGCAGAGGAGAGACTTCCCTAATTGTGATCGCAGGGGGCACGTTGCAGTTTCCTCGTGCACCCTGCAAATGTCCTTACCTGGTCGCCAGGTCGCGATGCACAAAGTCCATCTCTTCAAGGTACTTCATACCGGAGGCTATTTGTGTGGCCATGTACACGAGCGCGCCGAAGCTGCAACACACACCAGAGTCAAAGAACAAGGACGGTCAGTTGTAATTGCAGGCAGGTCCGGGGATGCAGTTTTGTTTGCACCCCTGTACGCAAATTGCGTCCCCGCGCAAAGCGAATTACGCGAAAGGAAGTGCATCCCCCCGAGCGAAGAAATGCACGGCCGGGCCGGAGGTGGGTTCGCCTCGTTACTTGTAACGCAATTAGTGAAATTAAAGAGTCCTGTGGGAAAAAAAAAAAATAAATAAAAATGGGAAAAATGAATAAAAGATGAGAAAATCCGCCGATTCGTGCGTTCATCCTTGACGGGTCTATCCGATGTCCATCTGGAGCATGGAGTCTCGATTCTCGTACCCCCGGCGATTTTTCGAATTAACTTTGAATGAATTCAACGTGAATTACGGGGCTATGCGTAGGCGCACCGCAAAAAGGGCAATTAGACATCCCCTCGCATTTTGACGGGCCTTTTCACTTTCGGCCCGGATTTCCGAGGCATTGCGCAGCATGTCAGAGCTCTTTCCGCGTGTTTTGCTTTGAGTGGTGCCCTCTCAATGCTCGTCGGATCGCGAACGAAAATCGCCGATGTTAATGTCAACGTCAGCTCCTTGCTCCACGGAAGAGAAGGGATTGATTTAGTCGGCCATATTAAAAAACCGCGCGCCCGGAAAATGTCACGGCATTTGTAATGCCGTCAATCGGGATATTGGATCGGGGGATGCACTCGCATTCACGCATTTATCCTGGCACGCATGAAACGGTTTACCCGCGTCGACAAACTCGCACACTTTCCTGGGAGTATATACAGTTGTTTGTAATATTGTTCATATATTTACGTAAATATTTATATGCAAAACAGGTCGAGGGGAAGAGGATCTAGGAACGAGAGAAGGCGACGTAATTGCATTTATCAAGGAATTTTGTGGACATTGTTCCTCTCCAATTTCGAGAGAGAGAGATCCTCGAGGAGCGGGATCGTTCAGAGGTCTTAAACGGGAAATTCGAGGTAAATAGTTTGTAACTTCAATTACTCCTGGCCATGAAAATCCGGCGCATCCTGGAAGACGGAGTTACGTCCAGAATTTGCATAAAACCGTGTACACCCGGCATGAATACCACGAGGGTATTCCTACCGCGCGGAAAGAAATGGCCCATAAAAAGCACGAGGATTTTTTAGCATTTTCGAGACCCGCGCCTATGTGTGCGCGCACACACACACACGCGCGGACTCCGGCAGAAAGGGGGAAAGAAGGACACAAAGGAAATAAAACGACGCAGGCCGACTTTCCCCCATTTTTTTTTTTCCCTCGTCCCAGAAGTGCCAAAGATCCCGAAAACTCTTCACGCCCCATTTCTCCTCCACCTTTTTGTAACGCACATTAGTCGGATTAAGTCCATCAGTGGAATTAAACGAGGGTCATTGCGCCGAAAAATTTTGCGAAATTTACGGAGTGCTACCGAAAATTCTCTAAATCGCGTACCTAACCTTAAACCCCAATATCCGTATCTACTCCCACGCGTGTATACCAAAAAATTCCTCAAGTACATTGAATTTCTATTGAATATCAATTTCAACCGAAACGTGTATTACATCTCCCCTAAAATATCCGATCGATTGAAGCCAGCGATTTGATCAAGCGAAAATTCGGTTTACTTATATCGAAACGTGTTCTCAAGTGTACCGAGTTGCAGTTCAAACGACTTCGTTCAACGAGGAAATATTTTTCTTGATGTTCGCGGGTACTTAGGGAGCAAACTCGACCCATCTTCGGGGAGGCCGAATCGTAATTCATAGTGCGTACTCGGGGCGGCCTTTAAATTGCGAAATCGCCGAGAAAAAGGGAATTATTTATGGCCGTTCGAGATGCACCGGGGTGCATCGCGGACTGGAAGTCGTAAATACAGACCTGAGAGTTTTCGCGGTGTGCACGGTGGATGTCTCGGCGATGTGGCTCTGCAGGTATTGATTCAGGTCTCCGTACTTGCCGTACTCGGAGACGACGCACATGGGGTCGTCGACGAGGCTGGCACCCAGAAGACGTGCTACGTTCCGATCGGCGAGTCGCGACAGCCTCTTTGCTTCTTGTTGAAATTCTATCCTGAAATAGAGGGGAAGCGTTTCACGGTAATATCTTTATGGCCGCCAGCGGTCGGTTCTCTTCAGGGATATCGGATGCATCTGGCAGTCGCCTGGTCTAGCCACGAAGTTCCTGGCGATCGGACCACCCACTTCCCACACCCGAGGAACAGGAACCCCACAATAAATAGAACTGCGAAAGCCCCCTCAAAAACGAGACATCTATTGAATTTTTTATCGACTCTTCGGAGAGGTCTTCAGGGTCGCTAATCGGTCTTGGTCTGGCATTTCGTTCCCACAGGGTCGCGGCAGGTGATTTCCAGCACTAAAATCCAGGATTTCCTGAGTGAATGCCCCTCGTTCCGGGTTTCCTTGGGGGGTTGGTATACGTTGACCTCGTCGTAGGGGTGCAGTTTTCGAATTGACCCGATAGGGCGAGATGAAGAGGGAGGTGGGACTCTGCAGGGGTGGGCACGTACGCTCAACAGGCCACTTTGACGCGAGTTTCGTATTCCCCGAACAGTGGAATGCTAATGCGACGAGTGCGTCTGGGCGCTTTAGGGTTAATCTAAGTTGGAATGTTCAATCCGGCCAGGCGGGGGCAGTTGCGAGGGGCAGTTGCGAGGGGCAGTTTCCATTGGCACGGGATCCGGAGGGACATTACTCCAGAATGCACGAGCGGCTTGCGCAAAGCGTCATACTCGGTATCGCCTGACGATGCCGAAGAGTGGCAACATCTGCGAGTCCAATAAATTTCCCCTAACGTGGAAACCTACCATTAAACCTGAGGAAAAAAATAAAAAAAAAATAAAAAAAAAATAAAAAAGAAAGAACATTCTCAAAATAAGAAAAGAAAAAGAAACGAGGATAATTTCCCAATCGCAGCATCCAGCTCCGCTCCGGGATCAGGAAGACGCCCTCGGTTATTTTCCGCCGATCGGCCAGGAATTTCCGATCCCGGTTCGAAAAAAGCGCTGTTTCCACGATTTTTCCAGGGGCTTGAAGCCGTGTCAGGATTTTTCCGGGGAAAATCCGGGGGCGCGGCCCGCCGCCCGAAAACCACCCCCGTCACCCATTCCCGGTGCATTTATATCCAGGACTCCATAATTTTACGGGACCCCGAAGTGAATCATTCCTCTAAACCCAATTTACCCTTCCATCCCGGGAAAAGCGACCGGTCGTAAACATACCGGCCCGACTCGATGATCGGACCCGAAAAATAGATGGCGGCGCTGAATCGGAATTTTCCGGGACTCCGGGTGGAGGGATGGGCGGGATTCGGTCCCGGGTGTTGCAAATAAGGGGATTTAGGGGCGGCTTCGAGTTCCTCACCTCAGGGCCTCCGAGGATCCCGGTCTGAGGGACTTGACGACGACGAGGTCGCTGCCCGCGCCCTCCAGGACCTCGTCGTATCCCGGGAACCTATCGACCTCGCACAGGTGGATGTCCCCAAAGTTACCGCAGCCGAGATTCTCGACGATATTGAGCCTCTCCCGGGGGAAGTCGAAGATGCAGTCCTCCTCCTCGTCCTCCTCCTCGGTGAGCATGTCTTCGGGGCTGTAGCTGGTTAGGCTGCTGGAGGCCTTCGCGCTCGCGGGCGCCGGCGTACTTGGCGTCGGCGACGGCGGTAATGGCGGCAAGGGACTCTAAACCAGACACGTCACAAACTTCCCGTCAAGCCAAACTTTGCTAATGATTATTTGTTAGTACCTGTCGTTATGCATCGCTATATGTCACGGGAATTCCCCGGAACGCGGATCCCGGAGCAGATATGTACAGGAAACCGAGTACGAGTGACATGACGTACCCCACCCTGAGGCCGCTTGCACCCGCGCCGGCAAAACCGACTTTTCTGCTAAAGACAATGTAACTTTCAGAAATCTACGTGTTATTACCGACGAAATTACCGCTGCCGGTCCGTGTGCAAACGACCTAACGAGTGCAATTTTGGATTGCCGAATGCGGTGATTCTTAAGCCTTGGGGAGTGGAATTTAGGTTTCAAGGTCTTTCCCGGGAATTTCCTTCTTTTTCTCCAAGGGCGGGGGGGAGTGCTTCTTCCAAATTTTCCGAGTAATAACCAGTTACGGTCGCCGGGAGCTTTTCCGTCCTGCGGGGGTTGATGTGTGTCTGGTATTGGTGGCAGCAGTAATAGAGTTAGGGGACTCTGGGCCAGACGTGTTCGAGAGTTATTGAAAGTAAACCGGAGAAATACTGCGAAACTTTTTAACGAGGCGGCGAACTGACTTTCATCGAATAACCTTCGGCAAGGAATAGTTCTCAGGCGATGCCGAATGGGGACACAAAAGCCGGCTCCGTTTCTTCGGCATCGAGGGGGTTCGTTATATCTGCCTCGAGGAGACAAATCACCGCCCTTCGAGGCTTGCCGAAGAGTTGACCGATACTTCGTTCTCGGGGAGAAAGAAAGAGATCAAATTAAGTTGGCAGGTGCATTGCGCCGTGGATAATAACGCGGTAATAATTTTCAGTATTTTTCACCCACCTTGCAGATCTCCGTGCTGGCGTAATACTTCTCTGGTGGTGGCGGTATGGGCGGTGGGTTGGATGGGTACTCCTGGGTGGGCGGAATTGGCCGGGCGAGATTGATCGTGTTGAGCAGGAGTGGAATGACTGGCTGCGCCTCGTGGACCCCTGCATAAAAAGAACACAAAACCCCGGTTTATACCTCCACCTGGTCCCCAAACTACTCGAGGAAGGCGACTAAACTGATCAAACACACTTTAATTCGCGACAATCCCATTATCCACGACAAACCCCTAGAAAATAATTATTTCTCGTTTCCTACCCTCCCAAGAAACCAGGATACCGATTCAACAGGTCAATTCAGATTTGTCCAAGTCCTGGAGAATTAAAAGCCCAGATTGATCCGAACTCCAGGGCGGACAGTTTCATGGTCCTACGCGGAATCGTGCATTTGGTTAGAGGGCAAGTCGGGTGACAGGTTGCATCAATTCTAGGATTGACCAATCGCGTCCTGTAGGTACAAGGCTGTGGACTCAACACCTGCAAATATACTGTAGGTGTACCGACCAAACATTACGGTGGTGCAGGTGGATGCGCCAAGGGAGAGTTTCCCCTACGGCGCGTCTGTCGGTCTCTGTGGGTCTCTTCAAGGCTGGTTGATCAAACCCGGTCACTGAATCTTTGGAACACTTTTTTTTTTCCCACATTAATATATTAAGCCAAATCGCAATTTCGAGGTCGTCGCTGATCACCCTCTTCAGAGCGCCACTCGTCTGTCAGGGACGAGCCGTTCCCGGATTTCGGTGTGACGGATGCGATAAAGCAAAGTTTGGCTCCCGACCATCTCGGAAGTTGGCCGTTTAGGTGGCGATAACGTGCCTACGGGAAACTGCCAGCAAGGTGGAGGGTCCAATCTCCATTTTGCCTGGCCGAAACTTCGGGCCCTAGTCGATAACGACCCTAGACGTGCTCTTTCGAGGCGAGAATTTCCCGGGAGCTCGAGTTAAGAAGTACGGAGCTAAAAGTTCTTAAAATCATGAGAATGTCTCCCGGCCTTTCCGACGGGGCCGTAGAATATTTTTTTGACGTTAATGGCCCTGGTCCCGGCTAAGAACTCGGTAATGTCGTACCTCAATAGGCACCCACCTCCACCGCTGCGAGTACACGAGGAGGTGCCAACACTTCGAGTAGAAATTTCAATTTCCATCGAAACCGCCATTAAAATCGGCCCTTCCTGTACATCTACCCACAGAATGTGGCATTTTCTAGGGGATGTCGAATTTTTTTCGGTAATTGTAATTGAAGGTAATTAATTACCTTGGTACTCCGTAGGTTTGTGCAGCTGCGGCGTAGTGGTCGCGGTGGAGGCGCCGTAAGCTCCGGGGTGGTATTGCGAGGGAAGTGGCGGGCAAATTGGCCCCTTGTCCTCGGCCTCGTCCACCGAAACCTGCCGAATGTGAGCCAAAGTTATTGTTAATGTATGTGACGTTTGTGCACAAGTGCCCTTTACCTATTGAGATGCAGGGTCGCTGCAACTGCCATAAACGGACGACCCCTTATGTGCCTGTCGTGCATATACTATTCGCCAAATGTTTCCGGTTTCCCGATATGGCGACATTTTAAAGCGACACATTGCACCCCGTGCAACCACTGCACCGGATGGTCCCCCCAACCATCTAATATAAGGGAGGGAAATTAGTCCAGAAATTCTTCTTCCGCGAAAAAATGTGAGAGGGTAAATTCTCCATCGAGAGAAAAAAAAAATTGGACGTGTAGAAGTTCCTGGGAATATTGGAGAACGCGGAGCCACCCTCCTTGGGGTAGGTCAGGGACCGATCGACCCCGTCATCGATCTCTGCGCTTAGATATAGATCGGGCTTTAATAACCCGCCATTAGCGTAATTATCGCCATCAAGTTGACGAGGCGAGGACTTAATCGGGGGAAAATGAAATCGCGGGGGATTCCAGGGGAGGATTCTGATCTTGGAAGATCGTCACCTCGTAACCTCGGGGTCGGCGGGGGGTGCGGTTCCCAAGTGGTCCCAACGGCGGTCCGCCATCGCGAAATCGTTATGCTCGTTTACTTTCGCCTAATGCGACATAAAAAGCAGAAGAACCGTAAAACCAGGTTTATTGGGCGGCAGGAGAGCCAGGGGGAGGCGTATCCTGGGGACGCCCTTATCGCACGACTGTCCCGACTTTATACGCCCTCCTTAAGGGTAGCAGGGGCTCGGATGGCCCAGGGGAGGAGAGAGGACTCGATCAAACCGACACCTCAGGAAATTAACATTTTTATAACAAACAATTTGCCCCGCCGCCCCGACGCCCCCTTGATAAGACACAGCAAAGTGGCTCGTACCTCTCGAGAGAAAGAGGGGCGCTTGATAGAGAGGGTGGATGGAGATAAGTGAGGGTTAGACACCCCCGGGTGGGGTTTCTTCCCTCCCACCTTATGATATATAATATCCATTGATTTTTGTGTTGGCTCGACTCGACGCCCCCCCTGGGGGTGTTAATTTCCGTTTAGGGGGCTGAAGCGATAGGGGATGAAACGGACGACGCGTTAAGATAGGGCCACCACTTAGCCATTGGGATTCCACGACTCGATTCCCAACCCCTCTCTGCTTCATTGGTCATTCCCGAGTTTAACCACCCCCGTAGTCAAGGGTGGCCGGAATTATTCCAGGGAATCCGCGGACAAAGGATCCATCTCGGCTTTTCAACCCTCCAGAAGGCGCCCCAGACGTCTCGCGATTGTCTTCGTCACGGTTTTCACGTCCACCCTCGGAGTATTCAATTTCAGAAGGGGTGGAGGCGCGTCAGGGGAGATGCACGTCTTTGGGGGTGGTTTTCGGAAATTCGCCCCGCTATCCGGGATCGATCTGCCTAGATTAGAGTATGCAGGACCAGTAGGACCATTAACTCTAAAGGGTGTCCTTCCCCCTAACTACGCCAATGTCCGATACGTGTGACCGGGGGTGGCACACCCCCCGCGGAGGAGGGGCAATTCTCAGCGGGACTATCTACGAAACACATAGTACTAGTTTGTTGTAAATGTCACCGCCCCTCCCTGCGACCTCTCTCCGCCGCAATTGAGGCAATGGCGTACACCAGAGAGAATATATTACGGGGGCATGCGCGGCCTCGAGCTCAGACCCCCGAAATCTCCCCCAACTTCGGCAACCCCTAACCCCGCCAATTTTCGAGCCAGAAAGTAGCTGCCGGGCTAATTCTCCGGCGCATCCCTCGGCATAATAACTCGCTTTTAAGTGAACTTCCCGCGAAAATTCCCTCGCGCACTTTGCCGCGCCCCCTCGTCGAGGCATCCCCCAAATACCACCCTGGCTTCCAATCCCGGGTTCCATGAGTTATGGGAAAATTCCTCCAACCGTAATTATAAATGTATAAATTTATTTATCAATTTTTTACACCCCGAATTTCTTGGGATTCTCTTTTATGTGATCGGGGGTGCAAGTTTCGGGGACGCGGAAAATCGAAGAGGGGTACCTTCAGGGGTGAGATTAAATTTCCCGGTCTTGGAGGCGATCCTTTCGATTATCTCCGACCGCGACTATGGGTGTATAAATCGCCAGGACAAAAGGACTCGCTCCACTTTGAGGCCATCGGGGGGTGGAGGTCCGAGAAGTATCCTTCCTCCCGGAGATCGCTTTATTGGCGTATATATTCGATATCCGACGTCCCCTGTCGAACTTTCACCCCCGCCCGTTTGTTTTCCCCCATCGGAAGGGGAGGCTGAGAGACGTTTTCAAAAAATCTCGACTGCTTCTCAGGAGCGCCTTCACCCCCGGGGGGAATGAGGGCAACTTCCTTCCTCAAGTTTACCAGACTCGTGGGAAGCTCCAGAATCCCGAAATTCCCACTTGCATCAAATTTTCAGGGGGTGGGGTTCAGCGAATTTTCCTACCCCTCCCACCTTCTCTCAACGGGTTTAATGATAACACTTACGCCGGAAATGCTCCCATGAAATATGGAATAATAAACGCCAAACGCTCTGGATTATACTCCGTTGAAACTGCGCGCGTAAAAAAATGGGGGGAAAAAAAAAAATTCGACACACTAGACACGAGTGCTCTCTTTGACATGGGCCGTACCCTCTGTACAGGTAATGGCCGGTAATACCGAGCTCTCGATTGCGCCCCTCGAAATTGGCCCATTTCGTAAGGGTGGGGGACGGTTTCGCAAATTCTGCAGATTAATTGCGTAAGCCCGGGCCACGCCATAATCTTCCGATTACGTCGATTATTTTCGGCCTCGTTTCGAGGGCCGTGCACGCCCCGACCGTAATTCACCGCGTTGTTGCACCCCCCCTCGATTAAACAAATAAAGGGTGGAAACATCCCCCGGATGACCCCGAACCGCGCCGGGTCACCGATCGAGAGCAAAAATTTTCCAAAAATCCATGCACAAATCCAAGTGCCAACGGGCTTCTCTCCTCTTCATTAGCAAATCTGATGAATTCGATATGCCCTGATATTCCATACAATTCGAGTTTTATTCTCAGCCGGCCTCCCATTGTTTCGGAATTTTAGTGCGACGGTTAATTACGATTCATTAGTCGGTACATGTAAAATTGTTGGGTCGACGAAATCCCTGTTGGTATTTTAATTATTTTTTTGTTACTTCTTTTTTTTACGTAAATCCAAGTACCGAGCAAGGGTTCTGCTCTTTTTCATTATCAAGCCTGTTGTATTCGGTATGCCCTGATATTCTCTACATTTCGAATTTTATTTCTCACCAGCCGCCCATTATTTCCGAATCTTTAATCCGACGGTTACTTACGATTCATTAGTCGGTACATTAATTTCCCAGTTGACGAAATCGCTGACGGTAATTTTTTATTTTTTTTTTCGGTCGGTTTTTGGGGGATTCATAGGGAAGAATCATTCTGGGTGGACGCGCTTCGGTTTTCCGCGTCGCGCGGCGGAGTTGCAGTAAATCGTCGTCTGAGACGCGACGGAAACGAGTGAAATCGTGTATACAGGCAACGTGTATATACGTGCATGTCCTGTTTATACCGCAAGTCCCCTCGAGCCAAAAGGAGTACTACGCTCTCGGTGGTGAAACGAAAAACTTCGTTTCGCTCGATCTCCCGTCCCGGAACTTGAGCTCCACTCCGGGCGGCCGAAAACCGCGGAGATACTCCGCGAACTCAAATAAATTCTAAGTTGTTCCGCATAAATCCCTCCCCAGCGTTACGCACTTCCGGCGCGACTTCCTGTCCCTGATTTTTCCCCCCGACCCGGGAAATTCCCCTAAATCTCCTTATGCCTCCACCCCGGAAGGGGTGCCGCCAAGTTTTATTAAACAAACTGCAACTTCGCGACAACCTAATTCGAAACTCCGTCCTCAATCTTCGGTTTTAACGAAGCGTCGGATGAACGTTACCAGTCACTCCCTGATTATCCCATTCTCCGATTATTCCACAATTATAGTTTCAACCCCTTCTTCCGACTTTTTCAGGGAAGGTTAATATGGGGAAATCGGGGAGGTTCAGGGTTGCGAATTGAGATGGTGAGGGAGGTGTGCCGATTTTCGGATTTTCGCCCTCCATGGGGGGTCTGCGAGTGAACTATCACCCCTAGGTCTCGCGAGGGTGCAGCGAGCTCCCCGATGAAGGGGTGCAGATAGGGTCAGTCCTGGCGGAGTAGTTGTTAGTCGAGCCGAGACAAGTAGCAGGTGGCTAATGCGAGAAGTGTCAAGCCACGTAGACAGGGAAGGAATGAACGATGGCGATAGCGCACGTCGTCTACGTCGGGACAACACAATGCCCGTTTTACCGGCGACGCCTCCACTCTAATTAAGTGGAGTCAGCTCGGCTGAAGAAAGAGGATCGAAGCCCAGGAAATAAAAAGAAAAATTGAATATCAAGGGGAGACCGATTTCACGCCGGAATAATATTGTTCCCCTCAGGATGCCCGTCAATAAGTGGAGGAGTCCATTGACTCCCAGGGTCTCGCCGAGATTCCTCTGAAAGCCCCTTCTTGTCCCAGCATCCGGCGGAGTAATCTCGGATTTAATTATCAGAACTCGAAACTCTCGGAGATAGAGGGAGAGAGATCTTATTGATAATTGCGCGCGCGCAATTACGGTCCCCTTTTTCTCCATCTCGGATGACTCGAGGATGACTGGAGCGATGAGGAGATATTTTAAAGAACTGGAGGTGGAATTTGGGGGCTGCTCCCCTTTCCTCCGGCTCGTCCCGATGTTTGCCCATTATCTCCCTCCGTTCGGTCGCTTCTTCGCATATTTCCTTCTCGCCTCCTCCGTCCTGTCTCTCGTTTCTTCCTTCCCCGGTAATGGGCCTTCCTCTTTCTCCTCCCCCGGACATTTGTTTTCTGGACCGACGTGGAAGTTCCTGCAGCCAACTCGGTTAAATCCGGCGAAGCGGTCAAGCGTTCGCCGAGGAAATAAAATCAGCACTCTCTTGTTGCTGCCTCGCCTTCCCGGGGAAAATGCATCACGCCGAATGTGGGACATGCGGAAACAAGATTTCTGCCTTTTTAACGGGCCCGGGAAAGAATGAATAACGCCGTGCGTTCCTTCCATTGGGTTTTCACCCCCCGGGAAGAATCCTCGCGGCGAGGTTCCCTCCAACGGGAAGACGGTACATTTTTTTTTCTTAATTTCTGCGCGTTCATTTCTGCTTCTTTCACCTCCACCTCCACGTTTTCAGTTTCCAGGTTTTCCACATCCTCCGTTTTCGCGTTCTCCCCTCGGACGTGAATTTCGCGACTGGTCGCCGATTCCCCGGCACTTTCAGCCCTTCCTCGGGCGGCCATTTCCGGGCTTTCTCCGTCGTTTATAAACGACCTTTCTTCCTTCTCCATCACGTCAATTTTTTTTTCCCCCTCCCGGCCAGCCTGAAAGGTCTCGGAGTCAACTCGAAATCCGGCGGAGCGGTCAAGCGCTCTCGGTCGGAGTAAAATGGGCATTCTTTTGTTACTCCCTTTCATATTTCCGCCCGACTCGGCCGGCGTCGATAAATAAATAAAAGGCGTCGGGGAGGGACGGAGGAGCCAGATAGAAAATGAAGAATTGACAGGAGTGGAGACCGCAAAACGATTCCCAGTCGACCAGGCGGGCGCGATGAATTTCGCGACCCGCGGGAGAAAAGGGTGAAAAAAAAAGATGCCAGACGGACAAGGGGGAGAAAAAAATGATTTATGCCACCTCGCCACCCTCCACACGTCGGCCGACGTCGCGGCACTATCGCGAATTAAAATGTCCCATCCAGACCTCAAGTCGGCGCTCTGGATTAATAATCCCGATCGCGAGGTAATAGCTCTCTTCAGGGTCGGCGAGAACGAGCCTCGTTACGAGAAGGGAACACGAGGATTCACCACGCACCCCGGAAACTGGGAATTAATCAAATCGAACCACCACGTACCTTGAAGTCCCTCTGTTGGTCGTAAAACGTCGAGGGCGTCAGGGTCCCCTTCAGACGTCGACTCCTGTAGAAGATGAACGTGATGGCAGCGAGCAGCATGACGATGACCGTCGTCAGGATCCCGATGACGAGTCCGATGAGCTGCTTCGACTCGGGCTCCTTGCTTTTATCTAAAACTTGAAGGAAAACCAAAAATTTTGGGACTCGTGCCAGGGGTGGTCCAGATTTCGCGAGGATTTTTTTTAATATATTTCTTTATTTGTTCTGTTCCCTCTTAATAATTTTTTCCGGATATATAGAGATGATAGGGATTTAGCTTCTTCCGGGGAGATAATAAAGCTTCGAAGCCATCGACGTCGACGGCGTGCATTAAACGTTCCGCAATTTCCCGTCCGCGGCCATGGCTACGACACGGGGCAAAAAGGAAGGTAATTTCTGTCCGAAGGTCCGCCTATCAATTTGCATCTCGCGTTTTATAATTACCGGGAATTAATTCGCGCGACCCCACGGAAGAGTCGCATGTTCCCGGCGGTCCCTTTAAACCGCGGCTCCCTTTAATATTCATTCCTTTCGAGGACACTCGCACTCGGGATGCACCGTTTCCCTGACCTAGGGCAACCGCGAGTGCAGATGCACACGCCGAATTGCGAGGGGCGGCTCGAAAATCATATCAGAATTTATTTCGCCGCGCCAGATAAGGGGAGATATGAAGTTCCATGATAACCTGCTGAAAATCTTGACGATTTTCACCCCTGAAGACGAAGTCACGGAGAAGAACGTTACCCTCGCGTGTACGTATGCCGGGAATTAACGAGGACCCTTTGGATACGTGTCGCGTGCTCTTATCAGGATTTCCCGTCACTTCGTTTTATTCCTCCGGCCGTTAATATACATTTCTTTGAGAACGGGTCTGCAGGAAGCCGAGGGAAAATGGAATGCCTTGTTACGCTCTTGCCGTGCATTTTTAAGGAATTCATCCGCCACGTTGCGCGCCCCCGAGACGTTAAAATGCACCCCCGGACGCGGAGAATTAAAACTTGCACTTATCTATTTAATTATTTGGCTTGTTATAAGAGAACATGGCATGAGAGCATGAACAAGGCAATCTACGGGGTGCGGAACGGTTCGCGTGGTTCAAGCTTAATAACAAGAACCGAAATAAACTCAGAGTTCCGCCCGTGTCACTTGAACGTGGGATTTCCACTCCCGAAATAATTTCTCTTGAAAGTTAATTATTCCGGTGGGTGGATTAATTTTGAAAAAAAAAATTGATAGTCAAGTTGGAAGGATGGATACGTAATTCCTCGCAAGGACACCAACGAAAAGCTACGTAGCTACTCGAGTAGCTTTTGGAGAGCCATGTGGTCGGGCCGAATGTCGTCCAACATAGAAACACCCTAAACAGTGGGCAGTCTCGAACGAGTGGAGGGTGAGTTTGGGCACCCCGGTGCCGAAGGGGTTGCGCACGTGTACACGCGTTTCAATTATGTCCCCGGACAATGGGGTTGGTGGGAACTTACAGACATTATCGTTGTTCTCCTCCTTATTGAAAGTAGCCTTCACCTCGTCCCTCTGCAGCGGGCCCTCGTTGTTCTGGTAGGGACTGCCGGTCGCCGGAACAATGGCGCTCCTGTTTTTGTTCTCCTCCTCGTCGGTGTTGTTCCACTCGGATATGACTGCGAAACCAAAGGAACGTTTCATGGACGCGTTTATCCCACGGGAATGCCGGTGAATTGGATTAGATTCGGCCAAATTCCAGAATTAAGGGTGATCCCCATCTCATGGCATCGAAGGGGGTGAGTTTCAAGAACTGATTAGACCTCTCTGATAAAAGAGGTTACACCGAGGTTATACAAAAATCTCGAGAGAACTTCGGAGAATGTAAAATCCGCTATGGGGATTGCTGGATCCGGAATTCCATCAGCCATTTCCGAAAAGTGGCAAAGTGGCTGGAAAACTACCCCTTCGGGGAGCGACCTCTTTCCCCTTCCTTGGAAAGAGTGGAAGGGTTGTATCCCGGGGCAGGGAGGGGTGTTTACGCGTAGAGGGGTGGTGTATGAGAGCAGCCTTGATTACGAGTACCGATGTTATCAGCCTCACTTGTTTAGTGCCGAGCCTCAGAGGGTTGGAGTCGCGGTTTCACCTGGAAGCGGGAAAAGGGGGTGCGAGGGCCTTTTTTCCCCGCGACCTCCATCGAGAGATCTCGGTTGCTCCGAGGCACTTGGAGTTACGTTTCCGACGTGAAACAAAAATGATAATGCACCCTCCACCCCCGCGACTCGTCCTCGCGCCACTTTTGCACTTTGCCTTGGAACTAATGGACCGCTGACCGAGTTCGTCGAGCTCTCCTTCATGGAAACGGATTTCGAGCCGGTGGTCGGAAACCGCGTGCTGCTTTCTCTCGTTTGCACTTCCTGCGTGCACAAAGGGCGGATTTTTACCTCGGGAAATAATCCCAGCCACCCTGAAGCTACCTGTTACCTGTAACAGGGTGCAAGGGGTGGAGCGATCCAGGGGGCGATATTTGCAACGAATTCCCTCCGAGACCTCCCTTCTGCCGAGAGATGTGCCGATTTAATTTAATCACCCGCGGAAGACTCTAAAGACGTTGCCGCGGAATTTAATTGAAGTGCATTACGGTTAACTCGTTGCACAGTGCACTCACTTTCTTGCCCCGAATGCAGTGTACTGCAGGAACGCGAGCTGTAACGCTCTATATGCGCTCCCAGCAGGTTAGCACGTCAAAGCGGGCAACAGTAAACTAGATAAGCAAACCATCTACCCCACCCCCGTCAGTTTTAGTAGGGGATCCACTTTGCGGAAGCATCGTTTTCCACGAACGTTTCCGGCAGGTGCAGCTGGCTCCAGATATTGGGAGGTCGGCCAGGGCGCATGCGCTACCGGTGTCCCTAGCAAGTACTCTCCTCGAGGTAGTAACCTACTAACGGGTACAATCCCCCAAGAAATCCCGTTTACAAAGAGATATTGCTGAAAAATAAATTATTCATGAATTATTCCTGAAAAATTAATGCCATGTATTTTTTGTAATCATGGATAAGTTCCTTTTGAAGGCGAACTCGGACCATTCTGACTCCATGGTTTTGGAGATGCATCCCCCGTTCTCCAGAAGGGAGGATATAACCTCTGCAGGTGTATATGAAATTCAGCGTGTTTGCATTGGTTTCCCATAAAAATCTATGTGACACGGGTCGATGGAGTATCGTGTCTCTTATCTTCCTAGGGACCAGAACCAGGGCTAGATTCTGGTGCAACCGATGCTCGGGGGGGAACCGCTCCATCGGGCGCCGCCATCTTGGCCAAACAAGGGAGCCCCTTCTAGCTTCGCGAATGATTAATGGCTTCGTCGGTACCGCTCCAGTCAACAAGTTGAGTTTTATACGAAAACTCCCTCCACTGGCAACCAATAAGTCCGGGTCGGGTCGGGACCAGCCAAGCTTTCCAGGCCGCGGCGATTTTTCCGCGCGGCACGACCGCCGGCGAAAAAAAAAAAACGACGTAAAACCCCGAGTTAGTGCGTACCGAGCTGCATCCACCTCGACGGGTCTGCTGACTTATTGGCACTTACCCTCGGCCTTCGTCAGTTGCAGCTGCATCGCCTCCAATATGACTTCTTATGCCACCCCTAACGTGCCAAATCTACCGAAATTGGACCACGATTCGAAAATTGAAACCCCGAAAATTACCCATGCATAATCGGATCTCTGCCTTTGGATCAAGGTGCGGAAATCATGATTGATCGGTTCCCCCTTTTCAGTGACGCCACTTCAGGGTTTCGACTGCCTCTTCATCGGACACCTGACTGAAGGCTGATCGGACCCATCGGACTCGTAATCAGGTGCCAGTCGGTCAGGGTATTAATCGAAAATTCAAGGACTGGTGGAAATTCCCAGGAATAAGGAGGAAAAGGATCCTGGAGGGAGGATGCATTTCTGGGGCATAAGTCACGAGTTTAACCCAGAAGTACGGGAAAAATGTGGTTAAGGATTTTTCCTCCGAATCTTTCCGCCTCAGGGTTGATACGAAGAGGTCGAAGTACCCGAAGAGCCTCCTTTTGGAATCGCTTACCCGATTCGAAGATAACCTCGCTGAGCATGATCCAGCGGGCTGCAAAGTATAGCTGCAGTTTGAGGTAGCGGCCTGCACGCGAGTGCAGCTTGATCGTCACGTCACGAGCCTGTTCCAAGACCAGGTCGGGCATGTAGGAAAAGTGCACGGGTTCCCCGGTGAACTGGTTGGCCCCATCTGCGCCAAGGTAGACCTTGGCGTGAGAGAACACCTGGAGAACAATAAGTCGGTCGTCATAGGCCAGATCCCGAGAATGAAGGAACACGCGAAATGCGGAATTTCATTGAAATCTGGAACACCTGGTAACAACATTTTTTTTATCAACGACTCCCCGTAATTTCCTCGGCTCTTCAGGTTCTCCATAACGGCGGTTCTCCAGGAGCGATGCACTGGTCGCTGGGACTCTTTCTCCGGAATTAAAGCCTGGCCATCCTTCATCCTTTCATCCCCTTAAACGCAGGACTCGGAGCCCGTTTCCGATGAGACGCACAGAAATCTTGACTTACGACAAGCCCGACATTTCTTGCCCCGGATTATTCTTTTTCCCTCTCTCGCCTGAGTGAAAGACATCGGATAAGGTCCCGCCCCGGGACGAGGGGGAATGATTTAGAGGTGGAAAACGCGGAAGGGAGGAAACGGCCCGGAGGAAGTGTCGTCAAAGTCTCTCCTCAGCGAGCGGAAGAAGGCTCGTTAATTTAAGCGAGGCCCCTGCAAGAAGGGACCACGATATCTGGACTTTCGTCCTCGTTATCCCGAGGGAAGACTCCTGGACCCCCACCTGGACGTCCTTCGAGAAGAAGTTGTTCGTGTGCAGATGCATCGCCGTGAAGTTCCTGGAGACGTCGAACTCGAAGACGATCTCTACAGGGCGGCCCAGCATGTTCTGCGTGTCGTTCTTCCAGCCGACCCACTCGTACCCTGAAGAGAGACCAAACGAGCCCGATTAAAAATACTTCCTGCCGCGCAAAAGATCTAAAAAAATTCACGCACACCCTTTACGCCCGCACCTACAATTTTCGTAATAGAACCTCTCACCCAAGTATTTTAGATCTCCCGTGAAAAAAAAAATAGAATCGTCCCCACAAATCCCGTGGTCCTCCCATGCGTACCTCGAAGAGCGGCCGTGACGGGGGTCGCAAATCGCGCAATTCGTTTACGCGGGGCGCGGAATTGCGCAATAAGGGGGCCAGAGGAATTAACAATGGTTTCATTAAGGCAATTCCAGGAGATCCTGGCCGAGGACGAGGACGGCCGCGTCCCTGAGGAGGAAGAGAAGTCAAGACGAGCGACGAGAACCCGTCGAGGCGACTCTTCGAGGGCACTAAAGCCACTATTCGACTAACGAGTTTAGGATTCACGAATTACGAAGTGCCGGTGTTTACCTTAATAAGGCGCTCTTTAAGCCCGGGACACCCTCGAGACTTCAGGGTAGAGAAAGGGAGGGCCCTTGATAAGCGCATTCGCAAGTCGTACTCTTATACACGCCGAGACGCCCGACCACGACCTAGGGGAACGAGGCGGGGGTGGTCTAATTGCTCCAATTTGCACCCCCGTCTGTGAAAGGCATCACCACCCCGAGGCCAAGGGTCCTATTCGGCTTTCTCCGCGACAATTAAATTCAGGACACTCACCACCCCCCGCGAGGGTTAATATTTTTTCCCGACTTGCGGAGACCGACCCTAGGTACACAATTTTCGCACTTAAATTAACCTGGATGCGAAATAAGAAAAATGGAATAAAACTGAAAAAAAGAAAGAAAAATAGAAGTAAACTGGAGAATATTTTCGAACCATTGATTTTGGATTTAATAGAGGATGTGTTATTTTTGCTACATCCCTAAATTAATTTGCAGGGAATCTTGTAAGAATTTCATGCAATCGATGGGGGATGCAGCTCCTGATGCCGAAGAGCCACGTGGCGTGCTCTTCAAGGCGTTTTCCCTTCTTCGAGACGAGTGCAATAACTCTTAAAGGAGCTTTTCGACGAATGCACGAAGCTCCTTTCCCGAAGGTATGACCTTTTATGGCCGAACTTACGACTTCTAGGTGGTCACGCACTGTGAAATAATTGCAGCCCCGCCCCGTCCGCGCGTTCGCGGAAATGTCATCGGCTTGGAGGGAAAGAAAAAAAAATAATCGCGGGGGGAGAAATTGCGTCTTCGACGCCGACCGATTTACGACTTCCCCTGGACACGTTTCTCTGCAGCCGAGCCTTCGCGAAACTAATAAAATATGAAACGTCAGCAAATTACCGCGCGACTCGCGGAAAGCGTCATTCCATCCGATAATGGGAGTGCGTGATGAGCATGAAGGGTGCACCCTCCCTCCTCGCAAATGAATATCCACGGGGGGGAAGGGACCCGCTGCGTTTTCCCCGCACCCGTGGAAACGTCGACGCCCCTCGTAAAAATCCAAAAGAATTTCGTCTCGACCGGCGACGGGTTTACGAGGCGACGCGGATGGCCCGCGCCAGGACTGCCGCAATTCGCGAAACTAATAAAACCGGGAATATCAACAAATGGGGGACATCCTGGAGGGTGCAGAGATCCCCGAAAAATATTCAATTTGAAAACCCTGGGGCACTTCCTTCCCCCTATCAAGCCCGAGCCCACCCCGATACGGAGAGAATTTCGGAAGAAAATTAATTTCGCTCTTAATAATCAAGAATTATATCTTTCGTGTCAATTATCTGAACGTCAGATCGAACACGAAGGAGAGTGGTTAAGATCCCTCGAAGGTATCGGATTGAAAATCCTGGGAAAAAAAAATAAATAAATCCGGTCCCAGGAATTAGTGTTAATATTTTTTCATGGGACCTAGTCTCTGTTGTAACATCTCGAGGATCTTCTGGAGAATCGTCGGACGGAGTTGAATACCCGAGTTTGGATTTGTCCCAAGCCTCCAAATAGGTTGGCGGTCCCCTGGGTGGGTAGGGCGAGGGGCAGGGAATTAGCCAATAACAATTTCATCAATTATCCTAACGGGGAATCGAATTCGCCAGCAAGGACCCCCCGCAAGGGGTGGCCGAAGGAGTCGCGAAGTCACGTCGCGTAGTCGCTACGGAATATCCGTTTTCTGGGCTTAACGACGTCCCGGATGGTTACCGTTATTTCCCGCTGACGTACTCGCTTTTGTATGAAACCTTAACGTCGTACCCCCGGGTAAATAGTTACCATTTTCAGGGTACATTCTGCCGTATATCCGCGTCGCTTACACCATTCCGCAGACACTGCCGCGCCGAGGCAAATATAATAGTCGTCTCCGAGAGCGCGCCTATCTTTCTCCGGGTTCCTCTATTCCTGGACGGCCATCTCCATTTCTCCCCCTCCCTCGTTTCCACCCCCGCACCGTGGCCCACGTGTAATTGACCATAATTCCATTCCGCCCGACAATCCGCACCCCCGGGACCGCCGCGGACACCAAGAGGACCCTGAGGACCCGACGCGGAATCTCGACCTCCTGATCCCGTACTAACTTTTCGGTCCCGGTGCTTATGTAACATTAACGTGAATTATGAAAATAATAATCCTCCTAATGGTCCCCTAGGAAGTCGATCCGCAATGTTATCGCTTTTTTAGAGACCCTGAAGACTCTCCATGGGAAATTTATCGGTGGTTGCGGAATTGATCGAGATTTAAAATTTCTATTATACATGCACGGGGCTGTAAATTCTCGCTGTGCAGTTCTTATGCAACTGCAATTCCTCGCAATTTCGGGGATATTCCGTAGCCGATTTTCGGACAGATTGAGAGAACTTTGATAGAGACGCGAAATGGCGGCGCCTCTTTCGGAAGGCCCCTTAAAGAGGGATGCAAATCCCGCGGCGTAATGATGTTTTCCGGGTCTCAAAGAGTAACGAGATTACTCGAAACGTTCGCCAGAAGAAACCGACGGGCAGGAAACTGAGGCAGGAAGAAAGGGAACGAGAAAGAGACCCGTTCGGTATCGAACCTTTGATCCCTGAAACGCGAACGAGAAGCGTCTCTTGTAAAGGGATGTCAACGTGATTCCTAAGAGCCACTGTTTTATTATTTCCCCTGCCTTTTTCTTCCTTCTCCGCCAGTAGTTGCACCGTTCTTTCATATTCCGGGAGAATGACGGAGAGAGATGAAATTCGATGTGAAATCTAGGATTGACGCGGTATAAAATATATACGAGAGTGACGTTTAGACATCGTCGACAACGATCGCTTCCTCCTTCGCTAATAGAAGACAAAATGGCGGGTGCAGAGGAGGTGAATTTCGAGTAAAATCGAAAAAGAATGGTCGTCGATTAACGACCGGCGTTAAAGGATCGCTCGAGAGTTCGTTTCTCTTTCTCGATGGAGCACCCTGGACCGCCATTAATGGCCGCACTAAACTCCAGGGATGAAATCTCCCATTTGGCTCGGAGAGGGAATAACAAATGAGGAATAGACAGGGGAAAATAGAGAAGGTCCCTGTAACCTCGTCGTAACAGGTGCGTACCACTCAGGGACTGGTTTGCGGGTGGTTTAAAATCTTTTAGGGGAAAGAGCTCGGGTGTGCGTCGAGGATGCATATACACCGGCGAATGGGAAGAGGAAGAGAGAGGGAGAGAGAAGGGCGACCGTGTATCCGTAGAGCGGGTAAACAGGAGTGCTTGCGGTTCAATATAAATGTAAATCGGAACAGATTCGAGTGTAGAAGGCTTGTTCGCCAGAGTGGAGAATCAGGGTGCTTTCGCCGCTTTCCCCAGGGGTTGAGCGAGCGGGGAGGGAGGGACTCGAAAAGAACATTTTCCCCGCGACCTCCGGGACGCACCTCGCCGATGACTCCGATGACACCGAAAATTTCCGATAAAAAAAAAATGAACAACCCCTTCGCAATAAATTCCGATGTTCTCCCCTTTCTATATGAGTTTCCCCAATTTCAATAAATCTCCTGAATTTCCTGAATATCCTGAATTTCTCGATTTCTCGCGCGATTAAATTCCGAACGAATCCGGCCGTTCTCCAGGAAGCGAAACACTTTGAGCGGCGAATCCCTCCTGTTAAACGCCCGTTAAATCTGTGGGTGAATTTTTTCAGCCGACTCGAAAGGGGTGGTCCAGGCCGAGGGGACGATCGAACGCGATCGAATCGATCTCTCCTCCTCCTCCTCTTTCTGGCCGTCCACGCGGCCGCGGCTTAAACTGTGTTAGGTGGCAATGCCTCGCCGGTTACGTCGAATTTCCATCGAATGAAGTGCCGAGGCGGGCCCCTTCAATTACAGTTAATTGAAGCCTCGGTACATCTGTGCGCCCGCTCTCGGCCCGGATCCCGCGGAAACAATCGCTGCCATCTCCTCGCGAGCGCGAACGTGTAAACTCCGACGATATCGCGATAGGAGTCTTTATCGTCCCCGCCGATAATGGACCGGGGCAAATTGCGCCAAGTCGCGATTGCTGAATGGCCAAAGCGACCCAAGGATTCTTTATCATGGGCATTTTATCGACCGTGAATTTTTCTTTTTTTATTAAAAGCCTATCGGAATTGGGCCGATTTTTGTGTCTCATGCAGGGTAGGTCATTTATTTCGTTGGGTTGAGTATTTTATTCGGTACCTTTGCCATTGTCGCTGACGTCAGACCGGAAGTTGTCCGGCCCCTTCTGGCCATCTACCAGCTGACCGAGTCCTCCGACGAGCTGACCACCCTCTTCTCTGCCATCGTACGTCCTGTCCGACAGATCTATCTCGGATCCTCGCTGGACCCCCTGCGGCATCGAGTAGGACAACAGACCCTCTGCAAGCAGGATATCTCGTCATAGCCGGCGCTCGACATGTCGCCAGAGAAAACACCATTAACGTCGCGACGCTTTTCCGGAAATACGAGGCCTGATAATGGATTCCTGATTTTTCCCTCATTAAAGCGACGGGGCCGCCCCCCTTGATGGCGTTTAAATGATATCCCGATGGTGCCGGGTGTCGGAAAATAAATAAATTCGAAGCCGACATCCCTCAGGAAACTGTTTTCCCTTGACGCTCCCACCTAGCTCAACAGGTCCTGACCTACGTCACTCGAAAGCTTCTTTCCGCCGTTTCCCGCGACGTCGCTGAACGTCCCGACGTAATCCTGCCAAGTTAGCTGTCAACGAATTCGTCGGAGGGATTCTAGGATTTTCTTCCTTGTTCGACGCGTTCCTCCGAGGATTCCGCCCCGGGCAAATCTGAGCTTCGCAGGAGGATCCAGGACGCGCAAAGACGTCCTGTCCCTTTAACAATTTTCTGATAGCTTATCAGGACACTTTGACAATTCTGCGGTGGCCGATTTCGTAAACATACGCTTCCCATTGACAGGAACCGAACCATCCCCTAGTTGAGCCTGGGCACCCCATGGCGAATCGAACACCCTCCGCACCCCATAACGATCTCCATATGCTTTACCCTATGGGACTCCTCCATACCCAAAATCCACCCCTCGATCCACTAAATTCCGAAATATTTGATATCGACAATTATCCCTGTGTCGCTTTTTTTATTATATCGCCTTTTATTATAACGCCCTGAAATTTTTCGACGCTTCCTTTTTACTTCTGGCTATTTTTCCGGGATATCGCGTTTGCATCCGGAATATCACGCAGGGCTCGCAATATTTTCACCGTGCCAAAGAGGCAATTCGACCGCTCGATGGCGGCCTATGGTCAAAAGCTCAGATGGCCGGACGCGTCGGGCCATGGCCCCATTCGGCCGGGCATTTCGGCCGGGATTAATGCGGACACAGCTGCACCTATTGCCGCCGCTGCCGTAAATCCGAGTTAATCTCAGATATACGCGGACGCACTCGTCAAGAAAATAAAGGGGAACGAGTCCCGCGGGCATTAAATCCGCGAACAACCGCGGGGAGGCCGCCGGCCTGGCGGATACTTCGTCGCTTTTCCCGCGTATTTCGGATAGCTTATAATTAGAACGGGAATTACTGGAGGAGACGGCGACGCCGTAAAAAATGCCGAAAGATTTCACCGAGTTAGGGGGAAACGAAAACAGTCCGATCCAAATACCTGCACTAATTTCGGGATTCCTCTATTCCGTGCATCCTGATAAGACATAATCAATTTGCTATCATTAGGTGGGTCTGACAATTCAACACCCCTCTCTGGAATGAAGGAGAAGCGTCTCTTCGAACTCTCCGATCTACCTAATAATCGGGAATGAAATAAATCCCACGATAAACCGAACCGATTAAATTTTGGAGTAAGCAGGGCTGGGGGGGGGGAACAGCTGGTGACATAGAGTTTATTTTCTTTTATGAACTTTTTGATACGCGAGAGTCAGTTTCCACGGCGGTAGTCGTCTGCACGCTTTCTCCCCTGGCTTTCAGAAAAATAATATCAAAGCAGATCTCGCGGGGGACATTTAATAAAAAGGCCGCGAGACGCACCGCACCAGGTGTTCTCCCCCTTGACGAGGTAAAGTGTCAGCCAAGACCATAGCTCAGAGGATCGTCCTTTTTCTAATAATACCTCGCAGGTGGGGTACGGTGTCCTTTTTGTCGGTTTTCGTATTTTTTTTTTATCTTACCTTATTCCCCAACCTAATATATTTTCCTTTTATATCTTTTTTCTCTCTCGCTTATTGTCTATACTCGCGAGTCGGCGTCGCAGGGTCGGGTCCTAAAGGATAAAGGACCACCGAGGATGTACCCTAGTTAGCCAGCTCGGCTTCCATAGATATCACTTACCGGTCCAGGAGCATCCATAGAGCTCCAGGCGCAAACACACCGTACGTATGTGCGGCGTGTAAGGGATGACCCGGATTTTCGTCGCTATTATTGGCGGGTCGAAGATCTGTTCCTTTTCCGTGTAGGGGTTGTTGTTCCCCACGAGAAGCTGCAACGAGAAAAATTCCACCTGAGGGCAAAGGACGATTTTCTGTCGGAATCTTACGCCCCAGTTATCCTGGCGAACGTGACTTCCACGTAACACATGGCACAGGGCATACGTAATTGCAGGCAATTACCACGAGTAGGAAGTAAATTGGTCGATAAGGAGATAAATCGGGAAATCGTGTCTGACCATGAACCCCCTCCTCCCTCTCGGACCATTTACCATTATTCATAGTAATCCGCGTTTCCGTTAAATTACATTCCACCCCACCCCAGGACCTCAAGGATCTCTCCTGTTAATCCGGGTCTCCGACTGGGATCCTTTAGTTAATTAAAAGGGCATGCACCATGCATGCGCAAACATTTAACGCCATTACTTCTCGTCCCCTTCCCTAAGGAAAATTTTTCTCCGGGGCGCAATTGAAAAATAAGGCAGCATTTGTATATTAATGGTTACGACAAAAAATTCAATTATAAATACAGCTTGCGGCATTTATCATTTAATTATTGTCGTTGCCGTTAAAATACCTAATCAAGGTATCTCCTGCGCGATATGGGTATTTTAATAGGACAAATCTCGAATTATCTCTCGCAGCATCCGAGCGTCCTGGACCGCTCTTCGCAGGACTCGTCCAGTTTTCAGGATCCGATTAGCTCTTGGGGAACGCGTACGGGCGGGCTTCTCTAAATGTAAATTCGAGGCGTTAAATCTGCACCGTGCTACACCGTCGAGCGCACACCCAACGGCGTTAAGCGCAATGTATGGTCGCGCTGAAATATGAATACCTAAACGCAAGCTCGGCCTCCGCCGACGATCCGTGTAAACTGGGCTAACCGGGGTGCACCGCTGTTTCGGTTGTCTCCACTCGGAGATCCCCGTCCGATCCTGCGATCGGCCCCCGCCCCGTAACGTATGCACATGCAGATAGGTGCATACGTCATGCGCCTTCGATTGCTATGATTTACGCCCGGCGCGATGGCCGCTCGTCGAGCTGCGAGCAAGACTCGGGACGGACGAGAAGCGCCGATCGTGCAGCTCGAATCGATTTTTCAACCCGAAGTCCCTCCGAGTGAAGCCCGAATAAGTGCATTTTAGAAGGATAATAGTGCAGCGACCGGATATGACGAGGACGAGCCGCGATGTCGGAGGGATTTGGAGATAATCCTAGGGAACTATCTGGGCATCTTCTTGGGGATGAGTTCATGGCAGAAGGGGAAAATCGGGTTTAGATTCCTTGGAGCAGGCCGTCATGCGGCATGTAATGACCCGGGCTCGGTGCATCGTTTATCTACTGCACCCCCGAACTCGCAGCATCCGACTGCACCATCCACAGTGGGGGCCGCCCATCCCAGAGCAAACATCGGTATCGCCGTTTCGTACGTACGTCAGCCCGATACGAAACGGGGAATATCCATCTCCCGGCGTCCAGTGGTCAGCCCGGACCCTCGTCCACCTCTTCGCCCATCGCGCCCTGTCCCCGCAAACGCGATTGCGGCATGCACGCGGGATGCACGCGGGATGCACTCCGGGTAACCTCGTGCTCCCTGAGCGCTCACACCCTTGCGAGGGCGTATCAACTCGAGTGGCTCCGATCGTTTTGATTTATGCGCTGCCCTGATCGCGGTCCTACGTCGTTGTTCATCCCTAAACGGCGTTAACGGCCGCCGTTTCGGTCCCGAAACGACGTAAAAAAGCGGCTCGCAAACGAGCCCGTGGATTCGTTAGAGGAACTCTCCGTTAGTTGAGGAAATGTAGGTCGCCGGCGAGTGCCGTTGCACGTCGTTTAACGAAGTCAAATCGCATCGGAGGTAGAGGCGTGCGCGCGTTAACGGGCCCGTTGCAGCGGGAATATTTCACGGGTTCGACGTAACGGCTCGCGGGTGCACCGGGGCTCTTCCTCCGGGATCGTAACGATATTTTCCCGAGGGCAGCTTTCGTTAGACAAACGGCCCATCGCCGACAAACCGCACACGCGAAATCCTACGAGGGGGTGGCTCCCCTCTTTCCGGATCACTTTGTGTGTCCACGCATGGAATATCGCTGGATCAACACCGATCGCGCAACGAATGCTTCCGCGAGGCCCGATCGCACAAATCGTGCCGACCTGACGGATGCACATCTGCATCCCCATGGTTCCGGAGAGCCGCGGGATCAACGAGCGTTCCCAAACTAAAGGGATTTTCGTTGGTCACCTCCGCGTCCCGACAGACTCATGGAGCCCAGTATTTCCGGCCCGATGCAAATTGCCGCGGCCCCGAGTGCAAACTGCATCGCGTCTCCTTGCACCCCGCAATCATTTTTTCCAATAATTTCAATAACCGCCCCGAAATTCCCCACAGCCTCCAGAATCGATCCAAGCACTTTAACCGCTACCCTTTAAATCCCCTCCAAGAACGCACCCCCAGAGGAAAAGTGCAACCTGCATCGATAACATTCGCGATGCACCGAGGGGTGCATCAGGTACACGGTTAAATAAAACACCTGCAAATCGCGCGAATGGCAGACGCATCCTTGAACCGGCGTTCGGGTGTGCAGGCATGCATCGTGCCGATGAGGGGTCGGAACGAGGGGTGCATCCTGGATGCACCCTGCATGCACCGCCCAGCGGCGGGCCGTAACCTGAGATCCGGGCACCCTCCGTGTACGCGATAGAAATAATTAATACAGCCATAAACAAGGGGCGAGGAAGGGCGCGGTATCGCCCTACCGACACATAAAATTGATACCCGGCATGCACCGCACTGCACCCAGTTCCGCGTGCGGTAGAGCCGCGTCCACCCGGAGATGCCCTCGAGCGTCGGGACGCCCGTTGAGTGGCACTTCGCGCCGGCGTTTAAGCCTCGTTCAATTTACCGGGATAATTCGAGAATACCCCTCCCTGAAAAAGTCCCCCTCCCCGAACCACATCCAATGCAACTCGTCCGAATGCACCGAAAAAAAAAAACTCGTATAAAAAATTCCTGCGCAAAAATTCCCAAAATATGAAACGAATAAATTATTCTTCTCCCATCCATTTTCTCTTTCTTTCTTTTTCTGCTTTTCTTAAAAAATTCAAGTTATCGACGATAGCTTATGAACGGTTGGAAAAATCGGGAAAAATTGGAAAGGGTGCATTTTCAGTCCAGCGAGTCACTTTTCCGGGTCCTGGAAGCGCGGGACACCTTAAGCCGGGGGAGGAATACTGGGGGAGGTGCTCGCCGATTTCGAAAAATCCCGGCCGAACCGGAAGCAATGTACACGGGGCGAAATCCACAGCGGGGCGTACAATGCACGTCCCGTGTAGAGACAAGGGATTTCGGATGCGTCCGCGAGCGGCCGGGGGGCCGGGGAAAGGTCGCAAACATTATTCCGTCATGCGAGGGCGGGGTAGAAAAAAAGGGGGAAAAATACGTGGGCAGGGGGAGAGAAACGAATTCTCGCAGGGTCACACCGCTGGTGCATTTCCGCGTACCGCTCCGCAGCTTGGCACGCTCGCGGAAATGCGCGGCGCCAGGAAAAGCCGGGGGAAAGCGTCCCCAGAGGTCGCATCGCAATTACTTTAGCGTCTTTCCCCCCCACCCGACCGTCGCCGCCCCCAAGGCAGCCAGAGCTTTAATCCGCTTCCTGTTTCCTCTTTCTCATGGAATTGGGACACCACTTTGTGCTAATAAAGTAGCGTTTAATGCGCGCTCTTTAACGCACTTGCTACCCTCTCCCCCCGGGAGGGAGGGCGAGCAACGTCGAAACGTCATCGCCGACGCCCCCGAGACGCGGTACCTCGATTCATGGCCGACGTCTCCTCGGAACCCTTAATCCTCCCGACTGATAAAATCCGCGATGAAACCGGGACGTGGGTGGGGAATGGGGGAAATACCCCCCGGACGAACGAGGGTCGTTAACGCGCTCACCCGGACGCTGCACTCGACGATGATAACGACCGACTGACACCCGTTCGCACCTATCAGCGGGAGAATGGGCCAGCTTGCAATGGGCTTTGCTGATAGATAACGAGGACCGGTGCCGAATTTTTTTCGGGTGATATCAGCGAAACCGGGGGAAAATATTAAGGGAAGGAGGGAAACGCGTGGACTCAGGTGTGGCTTGAAGGTACAGGAGGGGTGCAAAATGCATAAGTCGCGGCGGAAAGGGTGCAGGTCCTGGGGTAGGCGTGAACAGCTCTGGGGAAAAAGTGCATCGGCAATGGATTTGCAATTTGGTGCGGTAACTATGGGTGTAGATTCTGGGACGGTATGAAAATGGAAAAATCGGCAATTGTGCAGGACTTGCTGCGGCAGGATGAGGTGCGGGACCCGTTTCATCAGAGACGGGGATACCAAACCTGGTGCAGCACCAAATGCACCAGCGGGACTGAAACATCCGCCGTAAGCTCGGCAGCTTCATTAGCAAGCGAGTCGCGTGCATTTTTAAGTGCAGGGCTCCCCGTCTTCGTTAGCCCGCGTCCAAAAGCCGCGGCCAAAGCCCGCGGGAAAATGAGGCACAGGGTCGGGAATAAAAGGAAAAAGAATCGAGGGGAAAATATAGAAAATCGTCCGCCGGCCATCGGGCGAACGACCGGCGGCGACGCCTCGTATCGGAGGACGCATTACCGATCGGACCGATCGCCCACTCGGAAGGCTGGCCCTTTTCCGAAGGGGAAAAAAGCGGAGATATACGCGGAAAATTGTTTCCGCGCCCTGCGGTAATCCGCTAATAGCGTGTCCAGGTTCGAGCCGATAATCCGCCGATATAGACGGCGGCGCCGCGCGAGGGCTCCGCGCGCGGCGACAGTCCGAGAGTGCCTCCGCACCCTTAAATCTGGCCTTTTAATCGCGCCACGTCCTCCTGGCCCGATAATACGGCTCCTCGGCTGCCAATCGCTTTAGTCTTATTTCCACTTCTCGAAATCCGGACCCGGCAAAGGTTTCCCACCCAGACCCCTCACCCATTAGCAGTGATAATGGCCGAAGAGTGTCCCGATACGGCGAACCGTGAAGTAAGCCACTCCTCGTTTTTCACGGCTTTTC